ACTTGCTCAAGGCAAAGGAATAGGAATAGCTAGTTTAGTCAAATCTTAGTAGCAAAAACTAGCAAGACCTGGATTTGGCCCATGGGTCATAGTTTGCTGGACTCTGATTTAGGTCATCTTTCTAACGTTAATGATAGTTTTTTTTTTTTCTTTTTTCACACAGATCTAAAGTTTTAGCTCAAATATCTTATCGTATGATTTCATTTTGTTGTGCTTAGATATGACTTCAGGCAGGAATGTCAGGAGGTTCTCTGAGAAGAATTGATCTTCTAAACCTCCAAGGAAATGCCATTCTCTGGCACCGGATGAACTCCTGCTCTGTCTCTCTTCCCTTTGAGGCTTTTGGACTGCTCCTCTGGAAAGAAAAAGCGAAGCCTATTGGAGGTAGAAAATGGAAGCCCCCAGACTCCTTGGAGTCACTATATTCAAATTCCAGAGCAATGGTGGCAACTTTTGTCATACTGAAAAAGGAGACACTTTTTGGCGTCATTTCTACCAGTAATGAGACAGGAAAAGAAAAGGAGAGGATGTTCCTAAAGGTGCTGCTATTTCACTGAGATTGTCAAAGCATAAAGGCATTGTCTACTGATTTCTTTCAGTAGCATTGTGAAATTTGCAGTAAGTGGATTATGACTTATCAAAAGGAATTTATTTCTTATATGCTTTTAAAATGTGGTATTTGGGTCTGGAGAGAGAGTTCAGTGGTTAAGAGCACTGACTGCTCTTGCAGAGGGCCTGGGTTCAGTTCCCAGCACCAACATGGTGGCTAATAACCATCCATAACTCCAGCTCCAGGGGATCCAATGCCCTCTTCTGACCTCTACAGGCATTGCACAACACAGGTGCACCTACCTGCATGTAGACAGGCAATACACACATACACATAAAAATAATAAATAAAATATTTTAAAAATATTTTATTTTATTTTTATTTTTCATGTGTATGAATGTTTTGCCTGCATGTGTGTAAGTGCACCCACATCGTGCAATGCCTGCGGAGGTCAGAAGAAGGCATTAGATCTCCTGGGACTGGATTTACAGGTGGCTGTTAGCCACCACGTGGGTGCTGGGAATCGAACTCAGGCCCTCTGCAATGTCTTGTATTAATCACTGAGCCATCTTTCCAGCCCAATTTTAGAAAATTTTTTAAATGTATAATTATCTAATAAGTGGGGACACGAGAACAGAGAAAGACTGACAAAATAAATACAAAAAAACCCTATCATTCTATTCAGACAAGAAAAATACCAGAGTTCAAAGATAGAGGACAAACAGAAGGAAGCTGAGAGACTGTGAAGAGTCCTTCTGCTCAAAGTGCAGACATCGAAAAATCAATGATAAAGAAAGTAACCTGACATGATGGGCAGGGCAGGAGTTGGGCAGAGTAAAAGATGAGCAATCAACAGAATATAAAAATGGTAAAGTACAGGCTGGGCAGATGGCTCACTGGGTAAAGTGCTTGCTACACAAGCACAAGGACCTGAGTTCAAAGTTTCAGAACCCATGGAAAGCTGGGTGTGCTAGCATGTGTGTCTCATCTCAGTGCTGGTGAGATGGGAGGTGGAGACAGGAGACTCCCCAGAGGCTCAGGGTCAGCTCTGGTGTACTCATGGGCAAACAACAGAGACCCTGTCTCAAATAAAGTGGAAGGTGAGAGGACAGACACCCAAGGTTGTCCTGACCACTACACACATGTGCCCACACTCACGCACATCAAAGTGCACAGACACATTCATTATACATACACTTATACACAAACAAAAGGGTAAAACACTAAGATCATATCATCAATTCTTACTGAATTTCTATCTAGAGGAAAGAGTTTAAATATTACTCAGTCTTTATGAGTGATCTCTAGTATGAAATCAATAGCTTTACAAACAAGGGAGTGACAATTCCAGGTTTTCAAAGGGTCTTAATTTATGGTTCCACATTTAATCACTGTTAAACAAAAACATTATATACATAATACATTTTTCTCTTTTTCTTTGGTATGTGTATGTGTGTGGTGGAATGGTGTGTTTGCATGTGTTTGAACACATGAATGTATGTGGGTGGGCACACGTACATGTGCATACAAACAAGGGAGTGACAATTCCAGGTTTTCAAAGGGTCTTAATTTATGGTTCCACATTTAATCACTGTTAAACAAAAACATTATATACATAATACATTTTTCTCTTTTTCTTTGGTATGTGTATGTGTGTGGTGGAATGGTGTGTTTGCATGTGTTTGAACACATGAATGTATGTGGGTGGGCACACGTACATGTGCATATCTAGGTTACAGGCTGACAG